GAGGGTACAAAAAAGCTTTGGCCAGACCGGGCGCAAAGTCGAGATAGGAAGGAGCCACAGAAAGGGCCTGCAGATCCCCAACTCTCTTTAGAGAAGATATAGCTAAGAGAAACACAGTCTTTAACGTAAGAAGACGATCTGATATCTCCTCGGTAGGCTCAAAAGGAGGCCTACAGAGAGCTTCTAACACCACAGGGAGGTCCCAAGGAGGGACACGAGATCATACCTGAGGCCGCGGAGAAAAGGGCCTGCAAGAACTCCAGCACTGTACCAATCGGGCAGTTAACTGGGTCAAGCAGGCGGTCTCCGCACCATGAAGTGAAGAGTCTCCACTTCAGGGCGTACAGTTTCCTCGTTGAGGGAGCTCTAGGTTGGAGGATGGTCTCAAAAACCTCGGTTGAGAGACCAGAGGCTATGAGTTGTGCCCCCTCAGGGGCCACACCCACAGCTTCCACAACTCTGGGCGGGGGTGAAAGATCATACCCTCCGCCTGTGAGAGGAGATCCCTCCTGACGGGAATCTCCCATGGAGTGCCGTCGAGGAGAGAAATCAGGTCCGAGAACTATACTCGGCCCGGCCACAACGGGGCTACTAGCAATAGACGGACCCCATCCCGACGTACTCTCTCTAGAACTCCCGGGAGCAGAGTGATCGGGAGAAAGGCGTACAGACGAAGCCTCGGCCAAGTCATCCAGTGGAACTGGATGAGTCAGAGAGAACCAGAGGGGACATTGCGATGTCTGACGGGTCGCAAACAAGTCCACCTGAGCCTGGCCAAGAACTCTCCATATCTGCTTCACCACCTCGGGGTGAACCACACGGCCAGCATCTCTAGACAATTGATGTGCCACGTGAGATGGCGACCACTCCACAGACCGCGGGCAGGGTGGCCACTCATGACTGCTCCCCAACCAGTGAGGGACGCGTCCGTCGCTAGCGTTACTAGCTAGATCTTGATCATGCGAAGCGGGTTTCCCCTCGGGGAGAACCCCGCGATGAAGTACCGGCTGTAGAACCCGGACTCCCTGTCGAGAGGAGGGACCACCTCGATGGCCTCCTATCTCGAGAGAGTATTGACTTCTTGTTCAAATACCAGAGCCTGCTCTGGGCCCACTAATGTGAGAAAATCGGCTCTTTCTACAGTACGCAGGACCCATTGAGATACATTTGGCAGTAGTTTCCACGCTGCTAAATAATCTACTAAGGGAACCAGTCTCTCGAGACTGGCCTCTGGTGTCTTTGGAGCTGCTAGCTGGGTGCCCTGAAGCGGCGGACCGGCAGGAGATCGCCGAGCTAGCTGCTTGAGAGACCCCTGAAGGGGTGGCGAGGCTCTCGGCTCCGCTACGTTCCCGGGCGGAAAATACCGAGAGAAACCTTCGCTGGAGACCGCTGCGCCCTGGAACTCTGGCAGGGTTGGCAGAACGGTTTCCTGAGGATGCTGAGGAGAGACGGACACCGTGTAATGCGGTGTACCCCGCTCTTTCCCAGTAGGGGCCGCCCTCAGCAGTCCTGGGATTAAGTCTGTCAG